AACATGCCACTCGTCTTCCAGAGGTTTAAGCGATTTACTCATTATTAAGTGTAATAAAGTGATTGTGGTACGCGTTTGTGGCCTCTGGTTGAACATTATTATCATGAGTGTATGTTGCATTAATTAATTGTAGGCATGGTTTACGATCATGGATATATTAGCCAATTATATATTTGGCTCGCATCGGCCCGGCCCGACTTTTAGGCCATCCTGAAGTCAGTTCTAAGCTGACGTCGTTCTCCACAGTGGAGAATGCTGACCAACCTGACAGACACTTCAACAAGCATTTCAGTAGCTTGTCTCACAGTCCCTGAATCATACCATTTTCCCTTACCACCCTACCCATTGAACTGCAAAGCGAAAGCCATAAAGGAAGCAAGTCTATATTTCTGCTGGTTCAATTCTTAATCTCCCATCTCACTGGCGCTCCTTTTCAATAAATATTATAAGGGATTATCTGTTTTTATCAAAATTATATATATTCAGTGATTATGCGTTAGTCGAGCGAATAACGCATTATGTCGGAAAGCGCACGAAAAATCTCCAAATCATCATCATCGTCAGCCTAGCGCGTAAGGGAACTTACTGTACTTTGAATAGACTAACGCGTAGTCAGAAATAATCCCATTTAAATTAAAAATAAGCCCCAGTGAGATGAACCTGAGGAAAATCTAGACTTGCTTCATTTGCAGCTAACCTTTAGTATTGCAGGGAGGGCTAAGCAGTACTGGCAATAGGGAAACTACCGATCCAGTCTCGGCCGATAAGCCCCGCCCACTTCGTTTTTGACGTTAGGGGGGACAACCACTGGCAAATCACAATGGCGTCACCGCCGGCGAAACGTTACGTGATTGCGAACGTTGTTGATGAATTCTGCTTGTGATACTTTGGTATCCGTCGTTTGTGAATGTTATTTAAAGAGGCAAGTTATACGTATGTGATTTTTAATATATTTTAGCTGGCAGATTACAACTGGCGAGTGAAAATGAGTTACATGCCCGCTGAAAAAGCGTCTCGACTAGCTGCTGAGACTGTAGGAAGCGTAATTTCTTTCGACTCAATTAATCTATCTGGCAATTCACCTCCGTCACAGATATTAGCAGGGAAAGGATAGCTGAATTTTGTTGTTTGGGTTTATAATTTTTTAAAACTCGTGAACACAACCACATGGTCATGTTGCACATCGTTTCGGTATCTATAAATAGATTATCAACACTGCGCGTGGCGCCTTTACTTATCCGTTTGCGTTGTTCAAATTTAGTTCAATAATCTGAAAACATGGGTTTCTATCTTTTAATGAATTAAGAGAATGGTAAATAAAAATCAGAAAATATTTCCCGTCTACTACTTCATGCACCTTATTTGTCTGTACAATTAATGTTAACAAATCAATCACAGCATAACCTATTTGATCTTATTTGGAAATCTGGAAAAGGTAATTGGGCTTGTAAACAACATGTTTCCATGGACGTATCTGGACATACCCAGAAGCAAATATTCAACAGCTGATCTGCAGCAACTCTCAGTAGAGTTTCTCTCTGTACACCATGATAAAATGACACTGAATATAAGGAAATCATTTTTTTTAATCATCATTTCCATTTAATTTTTCTATATGTACTTTGTTGTGGAATTCTAATTTACATACAAACTTCCACAATACTGGACTTCATGAACTGCCAGCGTTTATGTACAGGTATGTCACAGCACCAGAACACAAAGAAGATCCAAGATACAGTCTGCACCTGTACACTAGCTGACCCATCTTCCAGAAATAGGAAACATGTGATGCAAAATTTTGGAACAGAGAATCCACAGTTATTCGAACAATTAACTAGCATTGAAATAGAATGTTACACAAAATACAAATGTAGATCTATTGTTTTTTCATCAGAGATGTTTAACTGCTAACTACTAGTGTAAATAAGGTGCAAAGAATATATCCTATGTTCAAAGCCTTCTGTCAATACAATTATTGCTTCTTAATTAAACAATGATAATCTTTGTTTTATTAGATCTGAGACCATATCCCTAGAGGACATAACACTGATTTTGATCTTTTTCCTTTTCTGAGATACTTACTGGTGTCATAAAAATTATAGTAAAGTTGATTCAAAATTTGGTAAAAGTCATAACAAAGGTTTAGGAAAACAGACATGAAAATGTCCTGAAGCGTTCACCTCCTACAAACCTGTGTGCAATTTAATATGAAGCTCATTTTGCAAATAACCATCAACAAACCTTGAACAATTTGTCCAAATCCACCATCTTAATAAACACTAGCTTTGGCTCAGTCTTCAAATAGTAGTAACCTCCTAAAAAACATATGATTAATCAGAAGAATTACATCAAATATGGGTTTAATATATGTTTCAATCTTTATTCCATTACATGAAAAGTCACCTGAGATTATTGAAAGTTATTCTGTTCCAGGACTAGATAATGCCTGCCCCAGGGTTTGACCAAAATGTAGCCTTTGCTTTTTCAAATATTCTGGATGTTGAAATAACTTTAATGAGTTATGATACTAGCAATCACTTTCAGAATTATCTTATTAGTAAATGTAGTATTTAAAAAAACCATGTAAAAGCAGGAGCCAAGAAACTAAGTTAATACCAAGTGATTGTCCTGCCTTGATATGTATGGTGTTTGTTTGCCTAGTTCTGCCTTAAAATCTAAAAATCTGATATGTCAATCAATTAAATAATTATTTATTATTGATTAGATTATTATTAATTTTATTTCCCTTCCACGTTTACTAAAAAAAGCAAGATTCTGAAAACATGTACCTTGATATCATTTCCAGTGAATTAATCAAAATTACAGTTGTAATATTACTCCTAAAATGTACCATTATATGTGAATAATTATGTGGTAACAAAACTTCAAATAATGTTCTCATAATTAAGATATACACTTTATTTCACTCTGTCCAATACTCCAGAAAGTCACTATTCTTCTCACATAGTTTTCGTATTCGATCAACCTGGAGGATGGTAATTCAGGTCAAAGTCCCATGCAATTCTTTATAAAAAATCTGAAATATTTAAAGCATGGTTTTATAGGCACTCATATGAACTAATTTTGATACTTGGATATTGCATGATAGGCAACTGCTGACACTGACAATATTTCCGTTTGAATAAAAAATATTACTCATCGAATATTTTGCTCTGTTAACAAGATACTGTAGGCCTTCAGATTGTGCTTATGAAACTTAAAACATCCTAAAATGTGTGACAAATTGAAGAATATCTAAGAGCGAAGGGGACAATATCCGTCACATTGTTCTTTCATGTAACATGTTTTGCTATTTCGGTTGAACCTAACCGAAATGAAAATTTGTTTACATTGTGTCACGGCTTTCTCGCCTGTCTCTCTTGAGCTTTGTGGCGTACCAACTCAATACCTAGTAGTGACTAAAAACGTGAAGCAAAAACAATTTTGTAGTTACAAATTGTCCGTGTTTATAACACTTGCAAAGTCTTAAACTGCTATTTGTTGTCATCAATTGGTAATGATTTTGCACATGTGCAAAAGTGTGCAAATTCGTGCAAATTCTCATCAGCAGGCAGACGTAGGTTTCCTGAACGATGGTGCAGACATTTAACTGATCGTCAGGCCTATCGCGTTTCTTGATCCGCCTCCATTTTTGTTGTCTTGACCGTAATGGTTTTGTTAAGGTATACATCAAATCGCAGCAATATGTAATAAATATAGCGAGTGTAAATGGCATAATTTGAAGCACATCGCTTCGGATGCATCGTTTGACCCCGGAAATAAGTCTGACAAATCCACACAACGCGCCCGGCCTGCTGATTGGCCAAAATTGACGCATGCGCCAGTTTTGATTGACAGACTGGATCGGTCTATTATCATGCTAGCTCGTAAATTAAGTCTCGACTGACGTCACGAAGCGGTACTTTTGATGTACATACAATGCCACGCCTCGCTGACACAAAAGTTCCAAATCTCTGCATTACACTAAATATATAATTGTCCAGCATTGAGATAAATAGCCCCAAATCGCTAATACCACCATTACCAAATTTTACTTTTACAAAATGTCATGTAAAAAAAGATACCGTTAGCTCCAACATTCTCACTTCTCGTTGTCTGCTTTGTTTGGTGTCAATATATGTCGTAGATCTACATAGTGGTACAAAGTAACCGACTATGTTATCCACGAAACAAGGTGACGTCACATTTTGTGGGCACACGAATGGGTGATGATTGCCAATGCCTTCCGTAAACAAACGTTTCATTCACGAGTGGAATATTAAGCATTTTCAATTTGCAGAATCAATGAATAAAATAATCAGTGCGTATACAAAATGAAATCATGCATTTAAAATATGAATTTCGCCGCATTTCCCTTTTATCCACGAAATTAAGGTTACGCGAGTGTTATACTTTTTCGGGAGTGGTTTTACAAATAATTCACTCAGACGCCCCTGTTACCCAAGGGGCAGTATGTGGGAAAGCGTAGAAGCCACAGTCTATATAGTGTCATGTTTCGGTTCTGCTTTATAATAAATTATGTGACATTCTCCATCACCCCCGCTTGTGAAAACAACCAAACTAAACACAAACAACCAATAATCCCAGATAATAATACGAAAAGTATCAATCCCAAAAGCGATATTTTTCTAAAGATAATAAATATCCATCGTTTTTCTTTTAGACCATATCCAGTCCCGTTTCATGTGACATAGCGTAGATGATTTCAAATGCTGTTGGTTCTGAGATTAACGAATATGTCCGAACCATCAATCGAAACCGAGAATGCATGCTCTGTTTACGTTTCTATTAGGATATTCCTACGCCAAAAGGCAATTTTCCGTTCTGTTTTACCTTACTCTTTAAGCACAGGAGTAAAGACGAGCAATCTAATCTATTAAAGTATACTAATCAGCATGTGTTCAATGATGTGAATGAACAGAAACAAAATACTGATCGTTTGGACTATATGTCTTGACGTCACACACATACAGAGGAAGTTGAGGCGTGATAGGGCGAATGTTTTGATCTGTCACACTTACTATTTGTTATGGCTGACTGAGGTGAAAGTGTGTTTTTAAAACAAGACAGCCCGCAAACACACATCCTGGCTTACGCTGTGTTTGGGGTACATGCCTGTTGAGGATGGGTAACTGTCTAAAGTCACCGAATACGGACGACATATCTTTATTGCGAGGAAGTGATAGTCAAGATGGCTCTGACCCAGGCCTTGGTCCCCCACCACCTTACCAGGTTAGTCCCTACTAATAGTTCTTTGTTCTAGCAACATTTAACTAATTTCACTTATATATGCATTTACGATCTTATTTGCTATTTTTTTGTAAACGTCCTTGAATTGACGTCATCGGTTGATAGTTGTACTCATCTGATGTCACTAGATCTACCATTCAGTAGCAAGTTCTTCTTTGTGTTGAAAGTAGGTTATTAGTATATCTAGTGTAGTCAGCTTCACACTATGGACAACTACCAGATGATCGGTTATTGGTTCTGTTTATATATGGAAATGAACTACACGACATATCAATATTTATTATAACTGGTTTGTCATTTCAGGTTACTGCAGTGAATATTATACTGAGAATATCACTAGAAACAACCAGGATACAACTTGTAGCTAAAAATAATCTATTGTATAATGTTTACAACCGTTAATGTACCTCTCTAATTGAGATATACTGTATCTGTCTGCTTGAAGGTATCTGCAGGCATGGTAATGACCTGTGTTAATATGATAATCAAAGTGTTTTACCTCAATCAGGATACAATTAATTTGCAATATATTTGAGTGGGTCAACATATCTGAAGTTTTGCAATTTGGTGACGTTGATTTCTGATCCCTTTACCATGTCGTTCATGGTTTAAATCTATTTTATGTTTGAGTTGATAATTACTTCATAATAAAAAGAATTGCCTATGAATAGGTTCATGTGCAGGATAGCTTATTCATAATAAGACAATTTGTAATGTACCTATAGTATCCAGTTATCAAGTATCTGCTCATGGCTCTGCCATGTTTACTGGCTACCAAACAGTTATCGCCATATTTTAGCGTTTTTTACAAAATTACTCCACCGTTCGTTAGATCAACATGATTAATGAAACAAAATTAATCATGATCCTTAATTAGCTATTCACTGATGTGTCCAGCCGTTCACTGCCACCGATCATGTTTTTATATGATGCGGCGGAAGGGAATCATGGCAGTATAAATAGATGTTTTCTCACAACTAACAATAACAGTTATCACCATTTAGAATTTCTCATGTCATTCGTGAAATAATATATATATTTATATAATACAGTAACCTAGAATAATTGATTGTGTGACTATTTGAGTGTTTCTTTTACAGTAGATTGATGGGGAATGAAACAATTAATGACTTGTGAACTTGAACTTGGTATTATATAGGTCGTGGGACATCCCCCCCGACTAAGTTAATTTTTTTATAGGGTTCATAATTCATCTTTAATTTTTCTCTTATGTTACTTACCGTGAAGAATTTTATTTTGCTGTCCTTTATTGTTGTCAAATACCATAGGGAAAAATACCGGAAGTGTAACTGACCGGAACTGCGCACGTGTGATACTGATGTATTGGCGATAACTGTTCGCTAGCCAGTACATATATCCACACAAATGAAAATGTATTTAGTCATGAGCCTTCAAGCGCTCACAAGAAAACTGAAATATGTTACACATAATATTATACAACACCATGTTATTGTCATGATTTTTAGTCATGACTGTACTGTAAGCTGTTTTATGTTACGATGCCTTCCTGGTGAGATGTAGATTGCCCGAAAGAGAGGCTGATATGAATAAATGTCTTTGGCCAAATTAAAAATAAATGGTTGTATGATGATTGTTGAGCTGCTGTTTGATGTGAAGCATCTACATTATCTAGATGGTATATATTCCCTCCCTATGTGATTGCTGTGATGGACCTAACTCAAGCAGGTGATACTCAGGGTGTTATATTCAACCCTAATTGTATTGAGTGCCCAGCTGAAATAGATAATCCCTAACCGTCTCGTAAACCTGCAAGTTATCTTTGAAGGCACCTCCCTCTATGCAGCACAAAGGCTTATATTTTCTTGTGTAAAATAAAATGTTTAATAAATGGAGAACAGTTTGTCTTTGTTTAAGTATATAATTTGTTTATTAATGTCAACTTCTTTATTTGAGGAACACGTTTCGGAATATTTTCTAATTTTCTAATTTTCTTGATCAGGTGAATGATAAAGAAGTTGGCATCCCTAAATTCTCTTTTTTATGGGTGTCACTTCTAAATGCTGTTCAAAAACTTTCTATTTTGGTGCTACTGCAGTCAACTGACACTTACTAGTTTTATTCGGTTAAATTATACTCGTAAAAAAAGTAGGGGAACTTCATTTTTAATTTATGATTGAAAAAATTGGGAGATATATTGGAGTCAATCAATGTTGATATGATAATAATGAATGTTTTGAATGAGTGCATCACCACTTGCACTTCCTTATGACCATAGTCGTTTGTAAAGTAATAGCTCTTGACAGATGATTGGTATATGATGTGAAATTTACATGTGTACGTTTTTCATTTTCAAACCAACAAAATCCCGGCTAGAAACAAACACTAACAACTGTGTGATGCAAGATGCAAAGGGTAGTGACCTACAGCATTTCAATTAAAAGTTTTTCTTGAAACAGACTAATCCCTTTTTAGATTACTTTTGCCATGTTGTTAATAAATGTTATATGTTTTCCCATCTTATATTACTTGACTGATTTAGCATTCACATTTCTTCAAGTTTGTTTAAGGCATCACAACCTGCCCTCTATGTCATCCTACACAGTGTGGCAAATATACTTTCCTTTTCTACAGAATCTTTAGCACCTATTTTCTTTCAACTTTCTATAGATTTTGTACCAAAATAATGTTGATATGGTCATAAACTCACAAGTAAGAGCGTTTCACCTCCTCCTTTAGAGCAAAAGATGAACAGGTGGGCCATGGCTTTGTGGCTTCAATTTTCATCTACAGATTTTCTACTATGTGTTAGTGGTAACATTGTATGCAATGTTCAGTAAGCAATAGCTTGCACAATTGATGAGGTAAGTGTCTATGTTTACTTTTAACAGGTTATGGGCAGCCCAATTATTTAAGATGATGCAATTAGATTTTCAGAGTTGCATTCTGTAGGATTCCAAAAACCCATGATTTGAATGTTTGACTATTGAATTCTTTAAAGTCTTCATGTTTTATTTGTTTGTTGTTCACCACATGTACTACTGGAATAAAGTAACTGGGCATTATTTGATGTTTTTACATTTTTAATGCAAAAAGAGAATAATAATAATAATGTCTATTTATATTGAGCTGGGTTCCATCCACAAAGGTGCATGCTCAAGGCGCTACAATAGTCACAGATGAGAAGTTCACGAGAAGAGATAGTTCGTGGGGATATAACTTTCTAAAGAGAAAGGTTTTTAGGTTGGTTTTGAATGTCTCAAGGGTGAGGGATTCTTTAATGTTCTGAGGTAGTGGGTTCCATAACTGAGGTGCTGCTACTTGAAACGATCTGTTGCCGTAGGATTTTAGTCTTGAGTTTGGTACTGCAAGTAGGCATTGGTTTTCAGACCTTAGACGTCGTGAAGGCTGGTATGGTGAGATCAGTTCTGATAGATAACTCGGTGCTGTACCATTCAAACAGTGGTAGGCAAAACACAAGATCTTAAAGTGGATCCGGGTATTGGTAGCCAGTGTAGGGACATCAATACCAGTGTTATGTGGCATCTTTTTGGTGCACGACTCACAATACGAGCTGCCCTATTTTGTACCTTCATGATTTGTGGTGTTTTCCTTAATCACTTTTAACTGTTGACAGGATAATAACGAAATGATTTGACTCTAGGCATCATGACATGCCAAGAAGAGATGTGGTGTGATGTTCTGCTGTCTCAGGAAATCTGTCACAACATGAGCGACTTGTCGATGGGCATTTTCTTGCTGAAGCTTGAAGTTACGTCTCTGTCCTTGAATGAACGGCTGCACATGAGGCCCAATGATCTCATCCCAGTATCGCAAACCTGTCAGATTGAATTGACAATGACAAGTTGTTTCCAACTATGAGTTGTGATACTCCCCCATACCATAACACTTTTGCCACCAAACTGTTGATAGTGTACAACGCACGCATCAGCGTAACGTTCACCTCGCTGTCTCATTGTCTGTACACCCTTGCCCAGCCATCAGAAATTTCGTCTCATCAGTAAACAAAACACCATCCCAATCTTGTTTCCTATACCATAGATGCCATCAGCACCAGGCAAGACGTGCCTGTCAGTGACGTTGGAGCAAATAAAATTGTGCCGTCGGGGCTGGATGTTGTCCTCCCTCAGTCCCTCTGTAGAGTCCTGGAACTGGTTGGACGCAAGCCGTGAATGGTCCGAGCAGTCGAACTGGCAGTCTGGAATCGATTCCTTAGATGGGTCAGACAAATGTGGTTGTTTGGCTGATGTGACATCATGTGTGGTCCGAGGCAAATCTTTCGTGTTCCCATTATGTTGAAAACGGCCCCATATAGAGATCAGATCAGGTTCCGATGGACACAAAAAATGTCTGGCCTCATCTTTTCGGACCATTCCAGTCCCCAGCATACTCACGGCGTGGAAACACTGATTTTTTTAATCCACAGCATGATGTACACGCAGTTTACGTAGAAATTAACATTGTTTTTGACAACATTCAGAGGCTAGAGAATAATCAACCATTCTTCAATTTTCAATATCAGGTGTGCGAACTTCAGGTGTCAAAAGGTATGCCAAAAGCGAGTAAGTTCATTGTGCACAAAGTGCATGTGCCATGCACGATACATGACAGCAAATTTTATTTCAAGTGCTTTGCTACATGTTTATTTAGGGTTACTTCAATTAACTGTATTTTATGCTATTTTATGTTATTACTTTTCTGTTTGTACAGAAAGTTCCTGCAGTTTTGCTGAGCAGTTCCAAATTTTAATTCACATAAGTTGTCAGGACTCAAGTATTTGAGGGGTCAGATTCAACTCAGTCCTGAGTACTCGAAATTCATACCTTTCAAGCAAAACCATAGCATAACTGGCACGACATTACACAATGCGATTATTGTTTGATCAATATTGAAGTTGGTAACTTAGTGATACACATATGTTCCAGTTTAAGGCATGGCGTGTTCTGATCATACAAGTCAACACTTCATTCTGACTTGATATT